AAATTTTACAATAGTTTTAAATTTCCAAAGGTCAAGTAAAATCTCGAAACTAAAGTGATTGATCAAATCATGTGCTCCATTAGAATTTAAAATTTGGCTGTTAATTTCATTGACGACTAAAAAACACTTATTAAAATTTGTATAATTTTAAATTCTTCAAAATTTTTAATTTCTCGACGCATCGTATCATGTGTGGACGTTATTTATTTGTCTATAAATGAGAAACAAAAAAACGACTAATTTCCATCTTTGCGAACAAACATCGACCGTACCAATGGAAGCAACGAATTTATTATCGGCACTTTGTAATATGCACTTTCTCATTTTAGCAACAAAGAGTTTGTATGGAATCGGTCCTATTCGGATAAAAATACATTTATCAATTGATATAATCTAATAGAAAGCTAAAAGATCGATTATTGATTGCTTTGTGATTTTAATTTCATATGAATTCATATGAAATTCTGCTTAAAAATAATTGAAATTTGCATATGAATGAAAAATATTATTATTGTTAATTATTAAATGTAATTATCTTATCAGCTAAATTATATTTTTGTTTGATTGTAATTTCAGCTTCATTTCTTTTCACTTACCTGAACAATTTCTTGTTTCTACTTACCTTACTGTTTGATGTAATAATGAATGCGAAAACAATTTGCACATTTGTAATTATTCGTCATCTTAATTTGAAATTATGATTATTTGTTGATAAAATCTTTCTTTCAACATTCATTGATGAGCGCATTTATTGTAGGTATCGTAAATATTTTATTTCATTTTTGATATTATCATATCATTTTCTTTTTCTCTAAATTAGCCAATGGCAATATGCTATACATATTAAGCATTTCGATGATAATTGATAATGATAATCGAGGGAACCGATATGGAATATAAAAATTCTCGACGGGTCATGAAAACCGGAAGCGGAAAGTAATGTCTTATCTCATTCTAATAGCTTTTTTTTGCCAAAAAAAATTGATTTGCTTTTTTCTTTCGCTTTTTTCCTGATTGGTTTATTCTATTTTCGTAACATAAAGGCTGTAAAAAAGATTTCTTCTTAGATTACACCTTTTTCTCGATCATTTAGTAATTCATCCTTTTTTTCTCTTCCCATTCGCTATCTTTCACGGTGATGACTGAGCAAAAATTAGCACGGAAAGAAAATCTTTCGAAACAAACAAAATGATTTTTTAATGATACGGTAATAGCAGATTAAATTTAATTCCAACAATCATATGATTTTTTTCTTGATAAGATAGCAGTGATCAAGTATAGAAAATAACAAGACAGCATCTGAAATTTAAGATAAAATTAAACGATTAAAACTGAATCACAAAAAATAAAAACTGATTGAAGATTAATCGGAAATTTTTTCTTTTAAAAAAAAATTTACAAATTGAATACTGGAAATCCGAAAATGATGTGGAGAAATAATTCTACATTGCTTTTTTTAGCAAAAGAGAGATAATTCTGTATTGCTTTTTCCAATTGTTTCATTCAAAGTTATAAAAGAAGTAGAATTGAAAAAAGAAAACAAAAATGAATTTTGTTCAAAATAAAGCGAGAAAAACTTTGAATTGGAGAAGATAAATATGATAAGAGAGAATTGAAAATTGTAAAAAGAAACCAATTATGCAATCAAAACATGAAAAATCTGTTAGTAGAATTTTAAATTAAACGAGAAATAATTCAACTGAAAGGTACCATTTTTTGAAATTACATAAACGACCCGATCACTTCAAATCTCCTCGGTGCTATGCAAATAAATGAGCTTAAAGCAACTTAAAATAACATTTTAAGTAGCACTTTGATTTGTTCCACTCCCTAATTCATATGAGCTTCGATCGATGGATTGATTGATTGACTGATTGATATATATATACAGACAGACACAATCTAAACACTATAATAAAACCTCTTCATTAAATTGAGCTCCACTCAAACACTCGTTCAAAAAGCTTACACATTAATTAGTGATTAAAAGATGAAATTAGCATTTATAGCTTCTAATTAAAAATTTTATTGTTTTCATTGAAATTTCCTTACTTTTTAACAAAATAAAGAATTCATTTTTTCCATATGGTTACTTCTATCGTTTAAGTTAGATGAATTAATTTATGCAAGATATTTCGATCTTAATTTAAATAGTTGATGTATTTAAGAGTTCCAGCATTTTTCACATTACTAACTCGTAATTAATTAATACATGAAATTACTAAAGAAAAAATGAATGGGGAAAAATTGATATCTCATGCATATAGCAATAATTAATTGTGCGGCAGTGGAAAATTTTAGAGTTTAAAAACGAATTCGATGATCGGTTTCATCATGCTCCTTTCATTTTCATATTTTATTCTCTTCCCCCTCCATCTCTCCCTCTCTCTGATAATAAATGAAATGGAAATATTAAAAGCAATATCTTATTGATGACTTGTTATTATCATAACAAATGCATATCAATAAGTTAGCTTCCTTGTTTCAATCCTTTTTTATTGTTGAAATGGTGACAATAATTTTAACATCCGAAAAAATGAAATAAATATTTTCTTATTTTCCCCTCCAAGTCCAATTATCCACAAATGATTATGATGATAATTGTAATGACAGTGATTATGGTCATAGTGGTGATAATGATGATGGCGGTAATAATGATACAGGTGAAGTGGTAGTAATGATGATAACGATGAAGTGATAGTAATGATGATATGGTGGTGAGGATAGATCATAGCAGTGATAAGAACGATACGATGATGATGTTGACGGTAATAGTGATTAATGTAACGAAGGTGAGAATAATCATAAATGACGGTGATAATGGTAAGGATGATCATAGCAGTGACAATGATGATGATCGTAATGATTGCAAATGTTGGTAAGGTTGATCACAGCAGTGACAGTAATGACGATGATAATGATGGTGATGATGATAGCAGTGAGAATGATTATGATAACAATGATGATGATCATAATAGTGATAGTGATAATGATGGTAGTGATGGGTGTGTGGGTGTGAGTATCGATAGCTAGACGAGTACGCCCCTCCTCGCAACATTAATGCTTGTCGTCGAAATGTTTGCATAACCGTTCATTTCAATCAGTTCATTTCTATGCAAATTTCTCATCCATTAATGTACCCATAAAGCTCGTTTCCTACCATTCACGTATCACTTAACTATCAAAGATTATCAAAGATTACGATTTGTGATACAGAAATTATCTCTTTTTCCTTTCTCATCCCTTCCTTCTGATATTTTATAACCATTATCATAAATTTTGTACTAAATATATTTATTTTCATGATCATTTACCTTCAATTGATTTCAATTTTATATCTTTCAATTACTCATAAGTTTGAAGTGGGGCAAGCAGAAGATATAATATTGCTGATAAATTGATCTTTCGAAAGATTAGTTTATCAGAACAGAAATTGCCACTATCAAACAGGCAGCTACAGTAACAGCATGACATGCTTGATGAGAATAAGAAGAAATTTCGTTTCAAAATGTTAAAAATAAAAAATGAATAAGTTAAAGTCACCCCCTCAATTATTAAATTATTTACTAATAATTAAAGGAAATCTTTCAAAAACTTCACTTTTTAAAGATATTTCAATGCTCATTTTACTTGAATACACATTTTTCTCCTACTTCTTTTGTCTTTTTTATTTTGAATTCTCGCACTTCAATCATTTTGTTGAAAGAGCGGAAGGAGAAGAGAGAGAAAGGGAGAGAGAGAGGGAGAGGGAAAGAGGAATGAAAATGTTTTGAAGCAAAATCTTTTTCTCACGCACCAAATATTCCTTTATTTGCTTTTTAATTCAGAGTTTATTGCTTATGTTTATAAATGTATGACAGTTTGTAACAAAACCGTTCCAACCATCTTTCTTTTCCCTTTCCATGCTATAGCAATTACTCATTTTTCGGATTTAACTAAAGCTATAGCATTTTAAATAGAAAACCATAAAACCTATCTCACTTTCAATTTGTTAAAAGTTTAGAAAACGAATTCCTGTATGTTTCGTATTTTCTTATTAATAATTTTACTACTCAAACTTGGAAGCCAACTGAAAATAATAAAATTAAAAAAAAAAAATAGATATTAGCTGATAAAATGTGCCAAATTTTTTTTTTGATATGAAAAAAAGAAAGAAAGGAGGAATTGAAGTACTATCAATTGGGAAGCTATCGAGAAGCAAAGTTATGATTGTGATTGGTAAGAAGCCGCTTCGATTGTCATTTATTGCGGGGTTCTATTGCTGCGCACTGATTTATCATATCTGAAAACGAATTAATGGTGGAAATTTTGCAACAAATATTTTTATCAGAAGTAGAAAATTTTTTTGCATATATGTCATTTAATTGAAAGAAATGACGCATTTGTTCTTTTTTTCTTCTTTGCTGACAAAAATTACTTTGTAAATTTAAAATCACTTTATAAGTTTAATTTAATAATTTAACAATTGAAAAATATTTACCGATACGCTTGTTTATTACTTAGTTGAGGCATTCAACAATAAATTCCTTTTCTATCGTTACACCAATTACTCTATCATATGTTAACCTAAGTTTGGACAATTTTTGTTAAATTCAAAATAAATAAAATTTCAATTGATTCGATTAATTCCATTTATCTTTTAAATAGAAAAAAGGGAAAAAAAACATGCGTATTTGATTTGAAGATATTGTCATTTTGTCGCAACATAACATCAATATCATCAATTTTGCAATAAAAGTAAACAGAAAAATATAATTTCGATATTTTTTAGTTTGCCAATCGTAATTTGTTGAGACGGCATTGAAATGAGTGAATTTTGTTTATTTTTCTCTTTCAAACTCCTTCCTTTCACTTTGAAAAGTTTATTTTCTTTCTTTAGATGACTAAAATCCTTTTGAAGTGATTAACAATTAAAAAAATCATCATCAATTTATGATTATTTTTATTTGATTTTGTCTGAATTCGATAGTGCTATAGCAGATGGATTTCAATTTTAATTAATTAATTGAATTAATATTTGACAAAGTATTCATTTGTTTAACATGTTACATTCCTGAAATTTAACTCAAGTAGCATAATCTGAATTCATCAATCTCGAAAATAAATCATATGAAAAGTTAATCCCAAATAAAAGAATTGGAAGAAGGTTGACAGTTAGTCTCGAGTAAATGTCAGAGACAATACTAATGAAGTTTTTATTTTGGTGCATAAACTATTGCTTTGCACATTGATGCAAAATAAAAAAGAATTTAATATTTTTTATGCGTCAATCAAAAAAAAAAACTGCGGAAAAATGGATAATTTATATTCTTAGTATCATTTTGGTGTGCATTTTTACTTCTTAAGTATAACGAGGCAAAAAAGGATCCAAGAAGGGTACATCCTCGCTTTTCTTCCATTTTTTTTTCTCCATTTTTGGTTTCTACTTTTTTTTGCTAGTCTGCTTACTTATCTGAAAACTCCATATATTTCCTTTGATTAAATTCCGAACTATCCATCATATTTTTTATTTTTGCTTGCTTCCATCAAAATTAACATTGCTGTTTTAAAATATAAAATTTTAAATGATGAAATTCAATTATTGAGCTATTATGAGCTCAAGAGGTTATCTAAGAAAAACATAAGTGAAATTGTTGCAGCAATAGTTGTTTGCTATTACACATTCCACATCTTTCCCTAAAATTGGAGCAAAATTTGAACGGTGAGAAGGATTCAGTACGTTTTTGCTTGCTTTGATTGCAATCATAACATCAGTCCATTTGAATAATCCATTTTTATTACGCTATTTAAATCAGTTTTTTATTTGTTTGTACAAATTTTGCAACATTTTGTTAGCTATATCTTTCCAAATGGTCCGTAGAATCTCACTGAAAAAATGTGGCACAGGGAAAGAAAAATAAACATTGTAAATGTAATTGTTACAATTTCAAATTCATATTTCGTTGAGTTAAGCCAAATAAATGCAAAGTTCTATTATCGATAAGTGGAAAAATATTTGAAATCACTTAAAGTGAATTTTTCCTTTCGCTTGCGTCATTCCTTCTCAGATTTTACAAATTATATGCTGAAATTCGGTAATAATTTCAACATCCCCTCATGTCACATTTCGCCTGCCAGGCCTAACAGGCCAGCAACTGAAACCCATAGAAAGGAATTTGTATTTTACTTAGTATTTGTGCAATAGTATGTAATTTCATAATTATTTTGAACTTTTGCTCTCATTGATGTGCCTGTTTGAGAAGTTAGCATACGTGTTAGTATTCGTCGAATCAAGCAGATAATATGAAATTCTACACGTCATTTACGTCATGAGATCAAAAATAGTGAAAGGTCTCTGTTACCCTTGGATGCTTCTTTTTTT